CCCTCCAAAAACTCTTTTAAACCAATGAAAGTAAAAAGGTTGCAGTCATAGCTGAGTGGTAGAGCTATTGTCTAGCATGTTCGAGGCCCTGGGTTCAATCCCCAGTATGACAACAGAAATAAATAATGAATGTGGCCCCAGAAATCATGGGTTATATGTGCGGACATGTCTGTCTGCGGTGTGAGACAAGGATCTTCGAGGAGGGCCACGAAGGCAATTGCTCTGGTTTCCTTCCTCCAGCTCGTGGAAGAAGTAGAGGCCGGCAATATGGATCTGCGTGATCCCAGCCAGTCCGGAGGCCCTGGGAGCCTGTTCCCTGAAATTGAGATCTTGAAGGCCTCTGCCTCAGAATCCTCTGAGCAAGAGAAGCTGCTAACACAAGACACTGTGCATTTGATCTTTGCCAGAAGCTGGGATTGTGTTCAGTTCTATTGTTCGCTAGCTGCATACTTGGATAAGAGGCTTAAACTCTTGGGTCCCACACACAAGAAAATGGGGGGAAATAATGCAGTCTACCTCCTAGGATTAATATGAAACGCTTGGTGCTTGCTAGAGAAGAGGCAGCTGTGTTTCATACATAATAATAGTCAATGACCATTCATTATTTTCTGACGCATTTTATGTGCTTGCATTTCGTGGAAATGTTACCATTTCTCTATAGGGAAGATACTATTACATTATAAAATATATAAGGGACCTGACACGAAGGGCACCTATATATTTTCACCAAAGCTATTATTATTAATGAGCTCTCTTTTGTCATATAAAAGAAAAAAAAGGCATGTGAAAGGCACTTTGCAGGGCGTAAGGTTCCGTACAAGTTTTTGTTATAAATGTTACATCACCCTTTGTGGTCATAATCCTTTATTCTTCTGAGCTCCTCTGATGGTCCCTTAGTTACAGTGGCCATGGAAACACTGCCCGCAAGGCTGGGATCAAATGGCTCGAGCGCTCCTCCTGGAGGCCACCTTTCTTTCCTGCTGCGCAACGGCCGCGGGGGGGGGGGGGGG